ACCAACCTCTTCCACACATCGAACAAGTCGAGACCTTGGCAAAAAGGGACTTACTTGAGACTTGCGTGTTTGTTTGTTTGTTTCCTGATACTAGGTATTGAACCTAGGAACTTTGCAATGAGCGGCATCCCCAGTCCTTTCAGAGGTATTTTGAGACAGGGTCTTTCTAAATTGTCCAAGCTGAGTTTGAACTTGTGATCATCTTGTCTTAGGCTCTAAAGTGCTGTGATTACAGGGCTGTACCATCACTATTGGCTTGACTACTGGTTTTTTTTTTTCTTTTTATTGGTACCAGGGATCGAACTCATGACTGCCTGCTTGTAAGGCAGGCGCTCATGCCGCTGAGCTAAATCCCCAGCCCCGACTACCAGTTTTTGAACAGAGATAAGTCCCTATGATAGTGATGGGGGATCAGAAAGTAGGGGAGGAGGAGATTTCATTTCTTGTTTTTTTTTCCTTCCTTTTCCTGATTTGTTTTTCCCTTTGTGAATCTCATGCATGAATCCATTATTTAGAACTCTTGTGGTGATTGTGATATTTAGGGAGACCTGGGCTGGGGCATAGTGAGGAGCAAGCAGTGTGCGATCTGAAACCAGTGTGTGGCCACATCCAAATGCTTATGATGCTACCAGGGCAGAGAGTTTCTAGAACAATGCATGGTTTTTTTTGTTTTTTGGTATCGAGGATCGAATCCATGACCTCATACTTGCCAGGCAGGTGCTTATGCCACTGAGCTAAATCCCCAGCCCCCAGAACACTGCATTTTAATGGAAATGGGTATCCAATTAGTTGAGCCTCCATCCCTCATGACAGATATAGTGATACGGTCATTCACAAGGCAAGAAGTAGCAGCATTCTTTTATTTTTTTAAATTTTTATTAAAACAGGATTTCACTATATAGTTTAGGCTGGGCTTGAAGTCACTATATAGCCCCTAAGCCTGGCCTCCAACTTGTGGCGATCCTCCTGTCTCAGTCTTCTGAATGTTGGGATTACAGGCATATACCACCATGCCCAGAAAGTAGCAGCATTCTGTTTTAAAAGGAGTCAAACTTTGGAGTCAGATGAACCTGAGCTTGTACTGTATGTCAGTCCTAAAATGAACTAAATGACCTTAGAATAATCTCTGCCCCTCAGTTTCCTGTTTAGTAAGTTAGAGGTGATGATAAAGAACACCTATTCACAGAGTTTTTGTGAGGATTAGATGAATAAATACATGTAGAAGAATACTTGCACATAAATAAGTACTGAGAACAAATTGTGAGTTATTATTACTGACCATAACCATGTGAAAATAGTGCTTGCCTAGCAGGGTATCTTTCAGCATGTTTGCCCCACAGGTGAAGTGTGACTTTTGTTGCAATTTAGGGGTGGGTGTGACAAGGCAGTCTCCTTCTGAATAGGTTTCCCTCTCCTGGGAGACCGTCTCATCACATAGTAACTGGTAATGCCTGGGTTGTTTGATTATGAGCTGAATGGAAGCGTTTCCTCAAAGCATAATATTTTCCAGAGACTCTTCTGAGCCTTTCATTCAGTAATGTGCTTTTTATTAGAAACAGAACAGTAACCAGAAGATAATTTGGAGTGTATAATCCAGCCTTAGCCATAGAAGTCTGCAGTTTTTTTTTTCTTTATATCTTTTTTAAAAAATTTTATTTAAGGAGAAAAAAAAAGCAGAGAAAGGGTACAAGTTATACAGATTTACAGAAAAAAAATAAACAGTAGGAAATCACTAGTTAATGGATTACATATTGTCATCTTAGAAATAATTGTTCAAGTCACAAAGTTAAAGCCTGTAAAGTGGACATTCCAACAGTGAGACTGCAAACAGTTCTGTTCAATGATCCAATAAAGCTCAGTGATATCATTTTCTATCTTATACACTTAAACAGACATGCATTTATATCATTTAGAGTACTTTCTTTTCCTCTCTTTTGTACAATGACAATTACACATTTTGGGTTTTGTTACTCCCACAGTTCTTATTACTTTTTTGGAAGGGAGTAGAACCAAATGTGATATAACAGAACAGAGTCAATCAAATCAAAAGGGTGGACATAAAGTCTGCAGTTTTGAAGAGACAAAAAAACTGGGCATGGTGGTGCACTCCAGTCATCCTAGCACTTGGGAGACTGAGACAGGAGGATTGTTGTGAGTTCAAGACCAACCTAGGCTACAGAGTACGCTCAAGGCCAGCATGAGCTGCACAGACAAAAACCAACCAACCAACCAACCAAACAAACAAAAAGCCAAACAAACCAAAAATAAAGAGACAAAACACATTTTTTCCAGAGGTTCATTAAAAAATAATTGGCACTGGGAGTGTAACCCAGTGGTAAAGTGTGTGCTTAGTATGCATGAGCCCTGGGTTTAACTCCCAGCACTGAATGAGTGCACACATCTTTCTTGAGCATTTATTATGAGCCAGGCATAATGAAAGTCGAAATTGGACATGGATGCTGGAGTGAGGTTGTCTGCATTTGAATCTTCGCTTTACTAGTTATCAGCTATGGTACCTTAGCACCTTATTTAAGTTTTCTTGTCCCTCAGTATCCCCATCTGTCCCATTAGGAACAGTGTCAACGGTGTCTACCCCGTAGAACTGTAGCTAAACAACTTACTGCTACAGTGAGATGCTTGTGACGGTTACGATGGCGGGACGGGATTGGGGTTAGGCCTAGCCACAGATGTGTTACTCTCATGCTGCACACGGTCATGGGTGTTTATATATAGTACTTAGGTGCTGAGGGGTAATGGTGATGTGTAGAAACATTTAATTATAGTACATCACAGTGAGTATCACTGTAGAGAGAGGAGGAGGACAGAGCAGAGGGTCCCAAGTCTGGGAAACATAATAGAGGAAAGCAATGTGCCTGGTGTGATCTAAAAGGGAGGTAAAAGTTGGCCAGGCTGGGGTGGTGATGGGGAGTGGGTTCTGTGTTCTAGACAGAAAGAATATTATATATGTAAAGATCTGACAAAAAAAAAAAAAACCAATCCTGTGGTGGTAAGGTGGCTTACGAGGAGGGTGGTGAAGGCTGGCAGGGGGGCAGAGACCAAACGATGGAAAACTTGAGTAAAATTAAGGATTTGGGGTGGCTGAGAGCCAGGTGTTGTCCTTGAGGGTTCCAGTAATTACTTTCACTACCACAGTTCTGTGTTATTAGCCCCATTTAGTTAGTGCAGAAGTTTAGTCTCTGAGTGACTGTCATTGGTTGAAAGGCACAGAATCAAAAGGCAGGACAGCCAGGCTTTGAACTTAGGTCTCTCTGGCTCAGAGTTAAAGTTCTCTTGCTGATACAGATGTCTTTGGAACTTCAAGTCTGGATGTTAGCTTTATAATCTCTGGCCAGCTTTCGGCTTCACTTAACCTCAGATCGCTCAGTTAATACAGTGTTAATAGTAGCAGCCTCATCAACTTGTGAAAACAACTGGAAATATACATAAGAGGCCAGGTACAGTATCAAACATATAGCCAGTACAACTACTGCTTATGGGCCCAGATTCTTTTTTGGTACTGGGGATTGAACTCACAACCGCGTACTTGCAAGGCAGACACCTATGCCGCTGAGCTAAATCTCCAGCCATGGCCCAGATTCTTATATAGGGAATTGGTTGTTTCTCTAGGGGCCCAGTGACCTGAAATAGAACTCTCTGAGTCACCACTGTGTGTTGGCTTAGGTCTCAGTCGTTTTTCCAGGGATCTTTGAAATTTACAGGAAATCATCATTGCACACAGGGGACTTATTTCCCCCACTGGTCGGCAGACAGTGCATATTAGGCTCTCCTTCTGCCACAAGCCTGCAGCCCTTGAGCTCCCAGTCTGCTGTTAGCAGTGATCCTAAGGCTTCACTCTGTTCTCATCTTCCTTCCCCACATGAGTTCACCAGTTGTTCTTTTCCTTCCCTTTCAGAATCTACTGGTTCTATTTTGCTAAGGACTCAGACGATGAGCCCAGTATTGGCTTGAATTCTTATTTAACTTTTTGGTTATTAACTTTGCACACATTGGTCGTAAGGACAGACATCTTCTATGGTAAAAGTAAATACTGCAGTAGGCACTCAATAGGCAACTATTTTCATGGGGACAGAACTTCAAAGCTACCAAGGCTCTTTGGGAGGATTTTTTCCTTCTTCAATCTTTAAAATAGTTTTCTGAAGGTAGACATATCTATATAGTATTCTTTTCAGCACAATCGGACAAACTAAGCCCTATGCTTAAGCAATACACCTATTAATTCTTTCCTTCTATAGAGTACATGTTCACTAACTGTTACTTTGTCCCAGGGGCAGGAAAAATAGTACTGAAAGATATAATCCTTTCCCTCAAGAATCAGGTAGACATTTAAACAAAAAATTGTAAATAGAAAGGAAATTGTAGGACAAAGGAATGGCAAATGTTTCACTTTATTTAAGAGGCATCAATGAAAGATGTAGAGAGAAAGAGAGGCTTGTGTTGAGTCTTAAAGGACTTAGCGATCCTGAGAAAGTGGAAAGGAGGGCATCTCAGGTACAGGAAATGATGTACAGTATAAGCTGAAGGCCACAGACAGAAGACAGATGGTTTGAGAGGCCCCTTAGCATCAACATGACTGGCAGGAGGGGATAGGGATCAGGTGGTGGTCAAGGACAAGGTGACTGTGAGTCTTTCTGGTAAGATCTCCCAGACCAGTAGGAGCCTTTCCCCTCGCATCCCATCTTGCCTAGGACAGTCTCTGTCTCATACTGAAAGAAAACAATCTTGACCTGACTGGTTGGAGGCATAAAGGTTACCAGGTGAAAGGACACTTGACATCACAAGAGGTAGGTGAGAGGAATAAAGTCCATCTGCAAGGAAACACCTGTGTTCCTGCCTTGCTGGCAAGGTCACCAAAGGAGAGTATTAAATCGCTCTTCAAATGAGCCAGACCTGTGGTTCCTGAGGAGCCAGGGCTGGGTACAGCCTGAGCAGAGTGGGCAAGTCAAACTGGGTCTCTCATCTTGCCTCTGTTTGCCTTACAGCTGTGTAAATGAGTATGGAAGATTATGATTTCCTGTTCAAAATTGTTTTAATTGGCAACGCCGGTGTGGGGAAGACGTGCCTAGTCCGACGATTTACTCAGGTGAGAGAACTTGCTGGAAGTCCAGCTTTGGGCTTTTGATGTCTGGCCTGCTTTCCGGGAGTCTGGAGGATGGGTCTGGTCTCAGTTTACAGCCTCTGAGCTCTGGGCTCTTAATGCCTACATCAGCCTTGTAGCTTAGAGTTTCTCTAAACCACCGTAAGGGAACATGAATCTGTGGGTCACCACTAACCTCCCACGTCACACCTCTTCTTGCTTCCTTTTATGAAATGGGCAGGTGGTTTTGGTTTCAGTGTGCAATAGCAAAGAGATTAGATTTAAAAAATGGGTTAGTTCAGTACAATCAAAAGTGGAAACAAATGACTCTGGCGATCAAATCAAACCTGAACATTCATTTTTAAAATGCTCTAATATAAATTAAACCTCAATTCCCTGCTTATGCCATCTGTGCCCTATCATGAAATGGAACTGTTTTTGGTTTAGAAAAAGGTATGCTGATTTACAAAATTTCTTAAATGGGAATGAAATGAACAGTGAAGAACTATTTGAACTGAAATGAATGTCTTTTCTGGTTTGAATCCTTATCATATGCCCTAAGTCTGAGTTTCCTTTGGAAACCCTCTTGAAAGTTGTGTGCCAAGATTACATAACTTTTAATACAGAGATTAGAAATCATTCTGAAGTTGACCTTTTGTGTTTTCTCCTGAAAAATATTGAGTTATGCTGTTTTTTGGACTATCATGCACATGGCTTGCATTTTCAAGAAGTGTCCATTGGGCAAGTTGAAACTAGGTCTCTAAGGCACAGGACAAGAGGTGCTGAGCAGAATGTCGGCTCAGGATGCGAAAGTCCTAGGCCTGGTTCCACTCTGGCTTGTCCTTGGAGGCTAGGCAAATTTCCTGTCCTTCTGTCTTTCTTGCTCTCCTTAAAGTACCTGGTGTCCTCCAAGGCCCCTTTCAACTCTGATAGCCTGTGGATTTGTGCCTAACGGGAGAGGCAGATCAGATAACATAAACAGTTGTAGGGCCAGGAGTCACTTTGCAGTGTCAGGGTTTTTGCCATGGTTAAGTGAACATGGAATAGAATTTGTACTTGTCACTAAGTCTTGGCCTGGTGAAATCAAAAGTACAAACCTAACAAGCGTTCGTCAGCCACTACAGATACTGTATATTGGAAACTCCAACTGGTTTTACATCCACCCAACTTTTAGTAATCTTTTCTGATTTTGACAGAAGGCCAAGATCGTGGAACCGCAGAGATGTAAAGAAACTTTTAGTCCCCTTGTTGAAAATACTCCTGACCTTGTGTCATTGCTGAAAAGGCACAGATTATTCAATCCAGTCATTTCATTTTACAGATGAGAAACTGACAGCCAGACTGAATGACTTGGCTTTGATCAGCCATAACCTTACTGGCAAGGCCGGGGTTAGGACTCAGGTCTTCTGGTTCTCAGGCTGCTAATTGCTATCATTCAGTTCCACCCTCTGAGACCAGTTTCTTTAAAAATATAAGCCAGGTGTAGTAGTGCACACCTGTTATGCCAGCACTTGGAAGGCTGAGGTAGGACGTTTGTTAGGAATACGAGGCTGGCCTGGGCTATATAGTGAGTTCAAAGCCAGCCTGAGGTAATATAGCGAGACTATGTCTTAAGCAAAAAAACAAACAAAAACATCTATTTAGAGGATAACAGTGTGCATTATGGTAACTATGGTTAATTTTCTGCTGTCTTGTTTTTGAGGTCCAATAGTGTTCTCATTGTTTTGTTTTATTCTCTTAAAAAAATGCAAAAAAAAAAAACCCACAAAAAACCAACCAACCAAAAATGCCCCTGTCATTATCAAAGGTGAAAATATTTTCATCTTGGGTATTAATTTTTTTTGTTTGTTTGTTTGTTTTCTGAGACAGGTTCTCACTCTGTCATTTAGGCTGGCCTTGAACTCACTTTGTAGCCCAGGCTGGCCTTGAACACACAGTCACCCTCCTGTCTCAGCCTCCAGAATGCTAGGATTACAGGCATGCGCCACCACACCAAGCTCTTGAGCAGTAGTTTTTATTAATGAATATAATTTTCTTATTATTGTTCTTTTCTGTCTGCTTTTTACCTTCCTCGGCCTTTCAGTTCTCCTCAAAGTTCATATTTCATGGACAGGATTATGTTTGTTTTTCATGTTTAGCGCACAGTTAAGATGAGTTGGATTTAGCTATTTTTGAGGCATGAAAGGTTGGGGCATAACATGGAGGGGAAAACTCTGGGAGGGATTTATCTGAGTTTTTGACATTTGTTAGGCTGCAAAACAGCTGGAGCTATATAAACTTGAACCTTGGCAGCCTTGTATCTGAACTAAGTGAAAATTGAAGAAAATTGATTCAATATTTGTAAGTTATGAATGTTTATCTTTTGCAGACTGCAGTGGAACATTTTCTTTTGGTTCGAAAGCTTGGCTTCAAGTTTAAACTTTAATTGAGGAGCTCTTGTTAGGGAGTGAACTTAATTAAAGATATCCCAGTCATAGCTGCCAGACCTAATAAAGTCCATTTCACTTTAATTTCTCAAAAGTTTAGATTATGAGTGAAAAGAGAGGAGAGACTAGATGAAGAGTACTTTCTTAGAAGAATTCCTTGCTACCACTGAAAGCTTATAGGAAATATTCATGTAATTTTGCTAAAATCCTATGTTTCTGGAAACTGCTACATTTCCAGTTTAAGGTAAAGCTGCTACTGCTTTTCCCTCTTTTCTTGCTTCTCTCATCCCTGCTCTTCTCCTTCCTTTCCGCTTCTTCTGTTTCCATAACCCCAAACTCGTTGAATTTGAGGCCCAGAGGTGGGATGGTTTGTCTGAGGTCACCTAGAAATCCTACCTCAGCCACCTTGTGGTTTAAGGCTATTTCTGCTCCATTGCTCCCTTGATGATTTTTTTCTTAGATGTCTTTTCAGAGTCGCTGGCCCTGAGCCAATGTATGCATGTATGGTGCACTCCGTGGTGAAGACAGGCATCACCCTCGGGGCCGAGGAGAATTTCAGAGCTACACAGTCATGTGTAGCTGCTCACGCTGAGTTCTTGTTTTTTCATACTGGTGTGTAGCCCCATGGCTGCCTATGGCAGCACTGAGAGCCAGGGGTAGGCTTCCTTGATTTAGTCTCCTTGGAGACATCCCCACCCCAGATCCTGATCTCACTTCTGTGGCTCCCTGCTCTTCCATCATATCACTGTGTCTGATATTTTCTGTCTTTCTTTGAAATTAGCCACCACCTTCCCTTACTTTCATTCCCACTTTCTTCTGCTTTTCTCAGCACTCCTTCACCTTCTCCTTCCTCTAGCTCTTCTTCTCAAAATATACATATAAAGTTAAATTAAACACAGCTCCCATGATATTAACCAGACTTCTCATTTCTACCGGTTAACCTTGGCTCAGGGAAGCACTGGACTGGGTACTGGTGCTGACATCATTTAACTGAAAGATGTGCGTAACTATTATTTCCATTATTTCTTCCTTAGGGTCTTTTCCCCCCAGGTCAAGGAGCCACAATTGGAGTTGATTTTATGATTAAGACAGTGGAGATTAATGGTGAAAAAGTCAAGGTAAGAGGTTAAATGTCCATCAGGTCTGTGTGCCCTGTGAACATTTAGGAGAAGCAGTGCAGTGGTGTTTTCATAGCATTCATTAAATCTCCTAATTGAAAACAGTGCATTCATCTGTGACGGCTTATGTCTAGTCCCTTTCTGTGGGGGCAGGAAGAGACTGGGGAGGGTTCCTCACATATTGGAAGATGGAGGACCAAGCTTGTCTGTCTTATCTTTATTATGTCAGAGGTGACATAATTACAGGAAAGCAATTACAAGGAAGTAATTTCTTTTTGGATCTCCCAAGTTAGGTCCCTAACTGGTGCTAGCTGCTATGAACAGCAACATTAAGAAAAAGCCTTCTACCTCATTTCCTTTTAGTAATTCAGGCATAAGAGCCACCTATTAAAATTATGCTATCTCTTGCATACCATTTTCCCTAATAAATGGTTCTAAATGAGAAGTCCAAGAAAAGGATCAATGATCTCTACCTAGCCTATCCCCACTTTGGGTTTCTGGGTGGCTTCATACTTGGAAAAAGTATGGTATATCCAGTCATAGCAGCGGGAGACAGTGTTTACTGAGTACTTTGTCTTTGCTAAGTGCTTTTACATGTGTTTGATAGTTACCTTAATCCTCACTATAAACCTTAGGAAGTAAGTGGTACTGCCTGTCTATTTTTTTCAGAGCCATTAGGTAACTAACTTATTCATAGCACACTGTCAGGGAGACAGCAAAAATGTAGACCTATTTTATGAGCTAGTACAGCCTTCTGCCACTCTCCCTCTATGGTCTCCCCTGCAATGAGAGGAGAGGAAGTAAGGCATAACAGGTCCATCACCTTGGCGCAAGATGACAGAAATGTGAAGTGAGATATGGAAGATGGTAAAGAAGTGATTTTTGGCACTGTGTTCTACCTGCCATTTACTTACTGAAATTGTTTTCAGGTCTTTCAGAGCTAAGTCACATTGGAAAGAAATACAGTGGTACCTCAGCTTATGAGCACTTCGGTCAGTAAACAGTTTGGTTCACAAACAGACGCATTTGGCAAAATTTTGTTTTTGTTTGCAAATGCTGGGCTGGGCAATGAACAGACTGCAGTGACCTTTTCCACGTGATCAGGAATGTGGCCATCTTTTCTAGAACCAAGTTCATGAACTGAGGCACCACTGTAATAAGCCAGCCATCAGTAGCACAAAGTAAACTGGCATCAGGGTCCTAGCTAGATCTCAATTTAGGCATCCCAAGTCAAGTTATTTGCATCCTCCTTCCACATGAGTTTGCATTCCTCCTTCCCTCTGGGAGGGCAGAGAAACTCTATGATGTTCTTGAAGCATTTCATAGATTCTCACCATCACCAAAAAGTATTGGGACAATACTGGGATAGAAGCTTTCCTGGCATCCTTAGTGCAGAGACGTCTGCACTACATGTAACAGGGGGGCACTAGAAGATAAAGGCAGGGTGTGAAATTCATATAAATGCTAATCAGAAAGTCAGAAAAATGGTGTTGGGGTGAAGAAGGAGCAGTGTGTAGGGGGCACGGGAAATGTGCTCACGTGAGGTAGGAGTATATTCAAGAGGTGATGGGAAGGACCTCTTGTAGCTGTGTATTGTGCTAGCAGAGGGGAGTTGATTGCCGACTAGGGAGTTAGGTAGAAATAACTGTGGTTTCATGCATTTCACTTCAGATGTCTATGTTTCCCAATTGTATGTGTACATGAATTTATTGTTTTGTTTAGTAACATTAGTGCCTACCACATGCTAGGCACTGCCAAAAATAAAGGTAAGAAATGGTCCCCATGATTAAAAAACAGGCTTTCTTTCCTGAATCCTTAGGTGTAGGTCTTCTATTTTAGTTTCTGAATACTGTAACTTCATTTATTTATTTATTTATTTATTTGGTACCAGGAATCGAACTCACGACTGCGCACTTGCAAAGCAGGTGCTGATGCCACTGAGCTAAATCCCTCGCCCTATAACTTCATTTTTAAATGCTTATGCTCCTAAAATTCAGCTTTTCATGGTGTCTGACTCTACCTCAAGGCCACAGCTCTGCAAGGACAAGATTTATATTTTAGTTATCTTTGTGTTCATGGCACAGTTCTTATCTGAAGTACAGTTTCAGACTGTTGGACCTTTGTACAAAATGAAAGTCAATTAATACCTCAAATCCAGGTCAAATCAACCAACTTTTTTTTTTTTTAAATAACCTAGTATGTAGACTCAAGATATAGAATGGCCCTCTTCAACTATATTAATCCAAGGTCCTCATCAGTGTAGGGACATGAGAGAAACTTCTGTTGTCCATTAGAAAGGTGAGAGCTGCCCAGAGGAAATAGTTGTCTTATTGTCATCTTTGTTAATTTTTAGTGAATACCTTTTCTTAGTGATATTTAAGTGTCTTTTTGTAGTACTTTGAAGGCCTTCTCAGAGCCCGCTCTGTAAAATCAGTGGAAAAGAAAATTCTCTAGCAGTTTACACAGCATCACTCCCTGGTGAGTAGCAGGACAAGGACCAAAAACTCGGGATTGTCTCCTGACTTCTCAGCCCTCATAAGAAGGGGTCATCCTGTAAGACGGATGACTAAGTGTATCATAGAAGACTCATAGGGACTTATTTATCCTTTGATAGCCTATTGAAAAGCTTATTGGTGTCATCATTTCTAGAATGGCTTCCACATTGATGGCAGGGAATCCAAGGCATTAGAAAGGTTCTTATGGGTACTAAGACTGCCTGCCAAATCCACAAAGTTAAGGAAGAGGTCTCTCTTTTACTGAATCACAGAGGTGACCTTGGGCAGAAAATATAAGTAAAGCACTGTAGTCTACTGACCCGTGTACTTTAAAATGATAAGTTTTGTTATGTATATTTTAACATAATTTTAAAAATTGGAAAACATAGTCAATTATCTTTTATCAGTTGGTTAAGAAATAGTAAGCAAACTCTGAGGACACTTTGAAATATTTTAGACTTAGATTATAATGGAAGATTTGTTGTATTTCTCATTATTCATACCTGTGTTGTCCTAGACAGAATACTCATAGAAGTAGGAACAAATGATCATTTCTTCAACCATCTATCCTTCAGTCTTTTTATAGTAGATACTTCACACCAAGCACTGTGGCAGGTAAAGTATCTTTGCTCCCTAGGAACTTAACTACCAGTTAGTGCTAGTAACATTTTACTTCTGAAATCTTGTATACCACGGTCATTTTTTAGGGATGGTTAGTCTCTTCTTTGTGAATCTAAAATCCTTTGTTCATTTAGTACTGGGTTAGGAAGGCATTAGGGTATGAGGTCAAACAAAAGACAGCCTTGTCAAAGAACTTAATCTAGTAAGGGGAAAAACTAGTAAATTAGTGATAACAATACATTATTGTCACAATGGGGCAATAAAGGTTAAATAGTGGTACAAAGAAGAGCAGTGGCCCCATGCTGGAGGTAGGAGTGGTTAGAAAATTTATGCCTGCAGTATTAAAGGTACTGAAAATGTATTGATAGGCATGCGACTAACATTAGCAAACGCTGTCTTTCTTGTGCCTCTTTAACAGATGTCTCATATCATACTGTAGTTAATTCATTGTGGATTTGGCCTCTTTGTAAACTATGAGCTCTCTGAGATCAGGCATTGTGTTTTATTCCTATTGTGCCCTCCCTGCACATAGCACAGTTCCCTTCATATATTAATATTCTATGAATGCAGAAAAGAGGCAAACAGATTACAGGGAATGGTGAGACTAAGTTGAGTGATAGACACTGAAATATGAACATCTGTAATAATCATCTGTGAGGCTAGAAACAGCCTCCTATGAGAAAGCAGCAGATATCTTGGCATTCACTGTAGTAGAAAATATTTTAATGCTCAGAGCTTTTTGCAAGATGTTCCAGTAATGAAAGCATACAAATTCCTAATGACTGGTAATATCGAAATCGGATCACAAGTGTTTTAGTGGGTTTTAAAACAATTCATTGCTGTTCTAAGGTACCTCCAGGCAGAAGAGAATCACACCCCGTGGTTTGAGACAGTGGAGGCAAAATAGCTTTTGTCTGAGTACAAACCATTGGCCTTTAGCGTACAGATTTTCATGCATATCATCAAAGAATGGTTCCAACTTCAAACTGAAGGAGAGTCTGTGTGATGCTGATTCCTGGTAGAGACTAATGGTCACTCATTAGTGTCTTTAGCTAAACTGGCCCAAGGGAGGGTAACACTAACTGACTCATCCTTTTTGGATATATATGAATAGTTAAGTTAATGTACAAAGGCAACAAGGTGAGTCCTCAACTGGGACTAGAAGTCCTTATGGTGATTCTCAGCTTTGTGGGTAACTGGTTAGGAGGTAGTTTCCATTAAACTTTGCTGACTCCGTCAGTAGTTACAAAGATTAAAATATTGTCAGTAAATAGTTGAACATCTCTTCTTTATTAGGAACTATATTAGGTGAGTAGGGACCCCTCCCTCCTATTCTCACTGTGAGACTTTGAATCAAGTGGGAAAGACAGCTATATAAACAAATCATTACCAATGGATCATTCAAATGTGTGAGGTGCCATGAGGGAGAATGACATGATGTGTTGCAAAGAAGAGTGTGAGCTTGGAGGTGGGAAAGCCAGCCAGCTCTGAAGGTTCTGAAAGGCCTCCCATGAAGAAATGGTGGTGTTTCTAAACTGGTAAATGTCACATGTGAAATCCGTATAGTTAAAAGGGAAGTTACTGTTGCTGATCTTATTTCTCAAGGCCCTGGGTAACTTTCTCTATACCCAAAAGTCTCTCTGAAGTACAGTTTTCTTTCAGTTATGGGCAGAGGAAGTGAAGAAGGAAATGTGAGCAGTATTTTGCCTTTTTGGTTATTAAAGCCATTAGTTACTATGTTTTAGAATTAGCAAATGACTAATCATGCAGCCTGCTGAAAGCTGCATGATTACCTCCTACCATTTAAAGAAATAACTGAAGTTCAGAGAGATCAAATTATATGCCCAAAGTCACGGAGCTCAAGAGTGTTGGAAGGACATTATTTTTTGTCTGTCATAGCAGTGTTCCTGTTTTCATTAACAAAGATAATACCTTGTTATGTTTGTTAAAATTTTGAACTGAAATGTTGGATTTTTGTTCCTCTTTGATTGTTGACTAAAATACCAATGGCCACAGACTGACAGTTTGCTCTGTTTGACTTTTGTAATACAGTCTTACAGTTAAGAGCCACAGTACTGGGGATTGCAATACCTGGCTCAATTGTCTGCAAGATAGTGAGCAAGTTAATTAATCTCTCTGTGCTTTTCTTCCTATGAGAAATGGGTATTGTTAATAGTACCTACCTTATAACATTATCATGAGGAGTGAGTTACAGCATATAAAGTATTTAGAGTTTGAGACATAATAAATGCACAATAAGTTTTATTTACTTTAAGAACTTGGGGCCAGGGATATAACTCTGTGGCACAGCGCCTGCATGGCAAATGCAAGGTTGTGAGTTCAATTCTGAGTACCAAAAAAGGGGAAACTCTTAAATAGCAAAAGTTGGGGGGGGGATCCCCTAAAAAAAATATGCCTGGCTTCCTAATCAGGTGATACATTGTAAGTGCTTTATTTGAGACAGAAAATAACTGTAAAATTGGATGAAAGTGGTTCCATGTAAAAGCTAAAGCAAGACAATGCTCTTTTATTTTCTGCTTTTCCAACCTGATCCTTCTCTGATGCCTTTGCAGCTCCAGATCTGGGACACTGCAGGTCAAGAGAGATTTCGGTCCATTACCCAGAGTTATTACCGAAGCGCCAATGCCTTGATCCTTACCTATGACATTACCTGTGAGGAATCCTTCCGTTGCCTTCCTGAGTGGTTGCGGGAGATAGAACAATATGCTAGCAACAAGGTCATCACTGTATTAGTAGGTATGTAAGGATGAATGAGGAAGGGAATTGATTTGTGGGCATCAGAAAATTTATAATTACATAATGCCTTAGTACTTTCCAAGAATCTGTTCTCCAACGATAAAAGTCATATGGTCAACATTTAGTTCTTTTGTAATTGAAGAGAATATGAAAAGGTTCTATTTCATGGTGATGGTTTAGATAAGTGAAGTAGAAAACATTGCTGATTGATTTTTCTGTAAACATAGGCACAAAGGGAGATGTTGCATGTTCATGAAAGTTTTATGTTGCCATATATTTTAAAAAACCTTAGTTATATGAAAACTGTTAGTCTGAAGGTAAAATGTATCTTTTAAGTTCATAAGGAACTGTTTACTGAAGCAATTGATTATTAAAGAAATAGCTTATTAAAAAACAGACTTTGGTTACCTTTTTCTCCTTCTTACATTTATGCTGATTTTAGAAATTCTATTTTTCAGAAGGAGTCTACTCAGGGAAATATAGCAGTTTATCTCATAAGAGGATATAACCTCTGTTTATTGTGAAGATAAATAGATTTTCTATGGCTATAAATACATCCATTAAAAGTACAATTGCAAGAAAACAAACCAGATCATTAAAAGCCTCTCTTAAAAAAGTCTGATGGGAAAGTGTTGAAAAACTATGTTATTAATTTTCTTCCTCCTAGGAAAGAATTTTGCCATGTAATCTAACAAGACCTGAATTTTGGAAGTATGAGAACCTCAGAAATATTGTTAAGCTACAAATTATGACTAACACTAAGTGAAGCGAACATTTTAAAATCAGCATTATAACTTGTATTTATGTGGCAGAAGTCATACTAAGGCTGGGGATATAGCTCAGTGGCATAAGCGCCTGCCTGGCAGCACAAGGTCACGAGTTTGATTCCCCATACCAAAAAAAAAAGGAGTCATACTAAGAACTTTATATGTCATGGCCCCTGGATTACAGGTGCGAAATCCAAGGCTCAGAGATGTGAAATTCTTTGTCCCAGGTTATATAGTATGTAAGATCAACTCCTCATGTTTTCTACTTGTCCAGTTGAAACATACTACTTTATAACAAATTACTAGACTTTTCCTTCTGATTGGGTTAAGTATCTGCCTTTATGAACTAGTGCTCCATGTCTAAACTGGAAAACCCTGTGTACAGTGGTGAAGCTTTAACATAAAGCATTTGGGAGTCTTCAGCTCTGGCCTTAGACTTTTGTTACATTTCATAGAAAGCCTTGAGAACTTGGGTCAAAGCATGACTTTTGGAATTTTACCTAAGAAAGATAAAATTTTCTTACATAAAATTTTATCTAAGAAGTGAAGATTTGAGGTGAGGTAATTAATTCATTATAAAGGATGAATTGACTATATAAAAAACTTATAGTATAGAAAATTTCAAACATAGAGAAAACAGAACAGCAAATCCCCATGTACACATGTCTGTCTGTCTGTCTTTGGCAGTAGGGAGGACTGAACCTCTTACATGCTGTGCAAGTCTCCTACCATCGAACTACGTCCTCAGTCCTCATGTACCGATCTCTCAGCTTCAACAATTAACTAACTCATGGCCAGTCTCATTGTTTATCTGTTCTCCATCTATTCTGTTCATCTTCCCCACCCACACTATATTGAATAAAGATATGTGTATCTCTAAAATGTAAACTTTTTTTTTCTTTTTTCTTTTTTTTGTCTTTTTCCTTTTTATTGATACCGGGGATCGAACTCACGACTGCCTGCTTACAAGGCAGGTGCTTATGCCGCTGAGCTAAATCTCCAGTCCCCAAAAAAATGTAAACTTTTTTTAAAAAAAGAAAATCTAACCACAATGCCATGTTCACAGTTCCTGAGCAGCTTCAAAAATTCAGTGATTAGATTTCCTGTTTGGGTCATAATATTTTAAAGTTTCAAAACAAGGTCCAAGTAAAGTTCATATGTAGTACGTCATAATTATTCCTGTTAATTCTCCTTTCATCTAAATGTATATTCCCCTCCATTTTTTTCTTTCTTGGAAATTGTTAAAGCATTTCTTTGCCTCGTAGAATTTACAAGTCTAAATTCTGGTGTTATTTCACATGTCCTCTTATCACCTGTTATTTCTTATAGATTTTAGGTAAATCTAGAGGGGTTTCTGTTTTTAGCAAAACTATTCCACATATGGTATTTCAGGTACAAGTTGTAGCACAAGTAAGAATGCTAATTTTTTATTACTTTTCAGGGTGATGAGTTGATCCACTATGATCCTAAAGTAATTATAGAAATTTGTTTATATTTTAATATAACATGAACTTATGAACCTAAATGTCAGTGTATCCTGTTACCTAGCAATTGTTACTATTGGTGCTCCAGTTCCAACTTTGAAAGTAGAAGCTTCTTCATATGGGCTCCTGAGTCCTTTTGACATGATCTCTTGAACAGTTGATAATTTTCTTGCTTTCTGGAATGACAAGTATTCCATATATATCTTGTGCATTTCTTGCCCTATACCTGGAATCAGCCATTTATTCAAGAAGTGCTATTTATTTTTAATGAGAAGTTTAGAGGGGACAGTTCTGACTTGTTTTCAGGTTTTTCAGAGGAAAGAGCTAGTATGTATATGTGTATATGTATATGATAAAATTATAGATAGCATCCACAAGAGGGTTGATTCATTAGGTTCTATTAAGTATCCTGACTCACAAGACTACCGTGGCCATATTTGGGATCACATTCACTTAAAAGGAAGCAGGACAGCAAACCTGGCATTAGTAGGTCAGAATGAAGCAGGCCTCTTCACTAGAAGTAATACTCATGGTACTCCCAGCACCCTCTCTTCCTGAGCAATTCAGGTGTCAGGAAACAAGGTTCATGTCAGGTAAGTACAGGATCTGCCCTGGACAAGAAACCTCAATACTTTCAGGAGCCATCACATCTTGTAACAGCTCCATAAGTGAAACGTGCAAGGTCTCTTTAAGTGAAGAATTTGTACACTCAGGGAAGCCCTGAATTGTGCATTCCATTAGGCATTTATAATTCATATGTAAAACTCCCAGGCCAGAGTAATTTATCAGTAGGTCATTTAAGCATTGTTGCCAGATAACACAGTTGACAAATCACCTTTATCAAGTATCCTGGAGAGTAGATAGTAAACTTTTAAAAGATAAAATATGCCATGAATTATTCATGCTGATACTTCCATTTATAATTCAGGACTGTGGAAATTTTACTTCATTAACCATATATCTGTATTTCTTTTTTCTTGTGTCAAAAATCCTAGACCCCAGAACACCACCATAATTATACATTTGCTGTATCTCATATCTGTACATACATAACAATGACATAAAATTATACCAACACATCACCACCAAAATGATGAAACAACTCATGGCATTTTCCTTTTTTTATCCTTAATGTGTATATTTAAGGATACATGACAAATTACTGCATTTAAATTTACATGAAATACTGTGTACACTACATGATAAACATAATTCATTTCACTTTAAATTTTCACGGATTGCCTTTTTTATTTTTGTACTGGGGATCGAACTCATGACCTTGCTGCTAGGCAGGCAGTTGTGCCACTGAGCTAAGTCCTCTGGCCCCAGGGATTGCTTTTTAATGTTTAATTTTTTATGAATTGTATAACTTTTATTGTAAATTACATAGAATTATACAAGTGTCTGAAGTAAAATCTGTAGAACAATATATATTGAGAGGTTCTGATTTCTATTTTTATCCCCTCAACCCTGACCCTTTTGTGGGTAATTACTATCTTTTAATTAAGATTTTGATATATCTTTTCCTTTTTGCTATTTTAAAGAGATTACGACAAAACAGGATATAATAAAGCAGATCAGAACAGAACAGTGTAAGCAACACAGTATTTCACCACAAGACAACCTGTAATTAACAGTAACTATCATAATGTCTGTTTCTTTGAAATAGTTGAGCATAACTTCATATACACTAGTATCAAACATAACAAAATAGTATAAAATCATTAAAGAGAATGAAAGTAGTACAAGGCATTCAGAACCAAATAACAGAAAATGAACAATAGCTACTATATTATCTCATTTTCCATAGAAAATTTATTTATACTATCGCACATAATATAATCCAATAAGATACAACATGATAGAACCAATGGAAAGAGAAGAGCAAAAGTATGGTAGGACTTCAGAGTAAGATGATATTAAATCAACACTGGCTATCACAATGTCTTGTTTTCTTCAAAATAGCTGTTCATACCATCACAGATAATAAAATCAAACAAAACAGGATAAATGCATTTCAAATAATGAATGCAATCATTATAAGGCTTCAAAGCAATGTAATGGGGAATCATGATTACCATAAACTCTTATGCACTCTTACCATTTCTTACACTAGGTAGACTATACAGTATTTATACATGTGAGTGATTTATTTTGCTTACGAGAATGGTCTCAAGTTGTGCCCATTTATTTATAAATATCTCAGTGTGATCATTCTTTATAGCTGAGTAGTACTCCATTGCATAAAAGTACCACAACTTTTTTATCCATTCTTCAGTTGATGGATACTTAGGTTGTTTCCAAGATCTGGCTATTACAAATTGTGCTGCTTTAAACATGGGTGCACATATATCACTGTGGTATGATGTTTTTAGTTCTGGGAATATGCCTAGAAGTGGAATAGTTGGGTCAAATGGGACTTCCAATCTCAGCTTTTTGAGGAATCTCCAGACTGATCTCCACAGTGGTTGCACCACTCTACACTCCCACCTACAATGTGGGAGAGTTCCTTTTACTCCACAGCCTCTCCAGCATTTGTTGTTGGTAGCTTTCTTGATCCTGGCCATTCTTTCTGAGTGAGATGGAATCTCACTGTTGTTTTAATTTGTAGTTCTCAAAATTTTTTCATGTATTTATTTGCCATTTGTATTTCTTCATCTGAGAACTGTGTATTCATCTCAGATGCCCATTTTTGGATTGGGTCTTTGAATTTTGGGGGTCTGATTTTTTAAATTCTTTATATGTTTTA